TTCCATAACTCGCACACTGTCTGACAGTTTGATATACATTAGATAACTGATATACATTGTTATTAATAGTTTTTATGATTTCTACATCATCAGTCCTTTTTATGTTGCTAACATGTACAGTAATGGTAAACCCAGACTCTTGCCTGTTACGTTGTGCTTAGCCTRGTAGCTTCTAAAGTAGATCACTTGGTCATGTGGTCAAAACTCACTCCTCCATGCTTCAACTTCCTGCTCCTGTTCTTGTCTTTAGCTATAATGTGTTGATGATTGTTACATATATTTTCTGTTTGCTGTCTTCACTGCAAAACCTCAGTGAGGCGTTTTTATTGTAGATGTGGACCTTTTTACTGTGGGAAAATCTTTGTCAATGATGCGTTTAAGTGCAGTTTAGTAAATGATTGGGAGGTTTCATAAAATGAGCATGATATTTTTACAAGTGGATTGGGAATTGCTTTGTAGTTTAAATATATTTCAATAATCCCAAATCGTCCAAATAAATATCAACTGAAGCGTTGAAGTGACTGATTAGTTCTGACTCTCAGCTGACTGAAGCATCTTATTCTGGTAAGAAATGGCTGTTACTGCTTTCTGCTTAAAAGTCTCATTCTTCTGGGAAGTTTTATGTGAAATAGCTTTAGTTTGTGAATGTTTATGAACTCATCTGCATGGATGAAACATCAGACATAGAGTTCAGTTTGTAATTAATCCAGTGCTGAGCCTGTAGGTCTTCATTCTTTTTTCTGTGGATGAGGCCTAAAAGTCACAAAACATCTGCAAAGAAGATAAAGTTAAGCATTTTTTGTACTTAATTTTTTTCAGCAGCTATGCATGACTTAAGTCAGATTTTATTTATTATTTAAATGTTATTTAATTTAAAGGGAACATGTCATGCAAAATCCACTTTTTAGCTGTTAAATACATTTTGTTGTGTACTTGGAGTGCAGAAAAGTTGAAKTTGGTCTCRCCCAGTGCTGTGTAGATATTTTTATATTCTGTTTGGGTCAAAGAGGGGCTTGTGGAGTTACAATAAGGAGGAATTCAGACCAAAGTATTGCAGTTCCACTAAAGTTACTAGGGTCTGCAACCTACGACTTTGGGGTCATATGTGACTCTTTGAAAATGTAACCAAACATAACAGAATTTTTTTATATATATTCACAACAGAAATCAATTTGTATGCAAGTACCTGATAAATACTACTAATATAAAAAGTAAAATATGTTAGCTTATGTTGTTTATTTAAATAATCAAACTTCTTTCTATCAAATCCATTAGAAGTACCTTTAAAAAAATTTGAGGACCACGTAGTAATAAGAATTAGAAAAAAAGTATCCGAATAGTTCAGTTGTACTATTTTTTAATGAAATTCAGTARAAACCATACACAGTATTTTTCTTGTTTACATGGGTATGATCTTCATTTGTCCGGATGTGTAAAAATAGTAATAAAATTCACAATGTTTTTTTAGTTTTATGATGTCACATCCACTGGCCGTAAAGTTTCCCGAAAAGGCTTTGAAATGGCCCACAGATAATCACAGTTGTAGTTTGTTTTCGTAAAGGTTGCAGACCCCTGCACTAGACCCTATGTGAAAAAAAAAAGATTTAAAAGCATGATATGTCACAGCCATCATACTGATAATCCTGACATGTTCTGTAAATAAACCAAACATAAGAGCGTGTTAGTTATAGAAACAATGATTTTCAAGATCTGAAATAGTTTCTAGTCCCTTCCATGTTTTATTTTCTGTCCTTTTCAGCCACTCCCTGCAGAAGTTTGATGAGAACTGTAGCTCCAGGGTAATGTTGGGCTGTTTGTAAAGATGCTAAGTCATTAACCCAGATCCTAACATAACTTCTTTATTGTGTCACCTTACACAATGATAGTGGTAACCTAAACTCCACACTGTCAACACACTCAGAAGCTGTTTATTTGGCTGTGCTGTTCATGTATCGGATACTTATTTACCCTCGACCCTTGGTCCCAGCATACATTGGTTTGTTTCAGTTCAACGTAACAAATGTTTGTCTTGACAACGTGATTCCACCTCAGCTTTGGGACAGACAGTTGTGTATTTATTTTGCAGTCACTGGTTGTTGCACTGTTTCTCACTCAGAGCAAACATAGTGAAACTGAAATCTCATTTTGCTTTTAAATTTGATCTTACTCTGTCTGACCCTCTGCAACAGCACTCCTGTGTAGCTCAAATTTTACAAAAAAAAAAGCTTTAAATGAATATCTGCAGGGACAAGAACTAAGGGTTTAACTTGGCCCTCCAAACTCTTCAGATCTAAAGTCAGTCTGGCATTCAGGGGATGTTCTGGAATAAACCCAGTCCTGTAACCCACAACCAACAAAGRACAAAGAGTCTTTAGGCAAAGCCTCGGCCCTCATGTCCACAAACAGTCTGACAGAAACCTTCCCAGTGTTTCTCAGGTGGCAGCGAATCAGCTAAAGTTAAATGTCAAACGTGTAGGAAATACTTTATTTCCCAGCCTTTGACCCATTTGAATG